GGTTTTGAGGCTTCTCTCTCGCTCTTGTTCATTTGTTTTTTGTGGCTAATTTCTCCACCTTTTTGTTGTATTTCCAAATCGGTTTGGATTGAAGTTAGTGTGACTCCCACTCCCTCCTTCAACTTCTTTCATTGTTATCTGTTGGTGGTTCCTTTTTTGGTGGGTTCCTCTTCCAGCAGGTGTACTGGTGTTCACCACTCCCACCTTGTAAGTTCTCTGTAGTAGCAAAGTGAAATTTGTCTGTCTCTGTTGTTGGGATGACCCTTGTTTGGGTCTAACTCTGGTCTTTTCTCCGCACCAGGTATTATTGTCTCACCTGTGGGAAATGAAGAGAAAAAAGAGAAGGAAGGATGGGAGAAGGAATAAAAAGGAAAGGGAAGGGAAGGGAAGGGAAGGGAAGGAAAGGAAAGGAAAGGAAAGGAAAGGAAAGGAGGAAGGAAGGAAAAGGAGGAAGGAAGGAAAAGGAGAAAAGAAAAAAGAGAGGGAAAGGAAGAAGGAATTTTAAAAAAGGAAGGAAGAAGGAATACAAAAGATAGAAGGAAAGAAAATAAAAGGGACTTTTTTAAAAAAAATAAAATTAAAAAAAGAGGAAGGAAGAAGGAATGAAGAGAAAGAAGGACTGAAAGGAAGAAGGAATTAGGGGAAAAAAGCTTTCTGCTGCCTTTAAACTAGTCAGGGCAGTTCTGTTTGTCTTCCTGGCTGTGTCAGGTTGAGGAGGGTTGGTTTTGCTTTTCTCCCTTCCTGAGCTGCACTCTTCACTGTTGTCCAGCCTCTAGCCCAGTTCCTCAGTGCCCTTCTGTGGCTAGCCTAGGCCTTTAGACTACCAGTTGAGCTGTCCCTGAAGTGCACCAATTGGGGACAACTCACACACCACCTTCTTGCTCTTTGCTGTCCTAGATGCTAGGGACTTTCAGTGCCCCTTCAGGGTAGTTCAACCCCACACTGAGTCACATCTTTCCAGGGACTGCAGCTCCACCCTGCAAGGCTTTTCTGCCTTCCTCCTAGAGAACCAGTTGGCCCTCCAGGGCTCTGAATGCAGGGGCCAGGTGGGAGGAGTTCCATCCCTGGGGTCTCTGGTGTGAGCATGGACAGGCAACTGCAGACCTTGGACTAGGTGTGCACCCTCCCCAGTGCTTCTGGAGTGAGCTCCGGCAGGCTGCCCTCAGCTGAGGATGGGGTGCACACCAACCTGGACCAGTGGGAGTAGGGGCACAGGAGGCTGGAGGCTGCTGAGGAGAATTCCCCAAACAGCTGCAGAGTGTTTCTTTTTTCTTTTGGAAAAATTCCTCCTATTCAAACCTCTCCCCCCATCCAAACAAGCACCTGGCCTCTCACACAGTCCAGTGTGGCTCTCTCCCAAGAATTTTGCAGCAGACCTGGTGGATGCTGGGCCTGGGGCTGCAGCCTCCCTGGTCCATGTGCTGGTCCCAGGGACCTTATTGTCTTTAAGCACTCTCCTTACCATCTGATTTTTCAATGTCCTCTATAATTTTTGGTCTCCAATCATTATATATGCTGGGATACCATTGGCTGTTCACTCTGTTTCTCAGAAGATTGGCTAGGTGTTTCACCTGTGCACTGGGGGAAGTGGACTCTGCTTCTGCTTCCACCTACCTCACCGCCATCGTCATCCTGTTTCATTCTTGATACTGGTCATTTGTGCCTTCTCTCTCTCTTTCTTTTTTCTTGCTACAGGTTTATCAATTTTATTGATGTTTTCAAAGAACCAATATTTTGTTTCCTTGATTTTCTCTATTTTTCATTTTCTTTTTCATTGATCTCTGATCTCATGATTATTATTGGCCTCTTTCTGTTTGCTCCTCTTACGAGGTAGGAATTTATATATTGATTTAAGACATTTCCTCATTTCTAATGCATGCATTTAGTGATGTAAGTTTCCCCCAGCACTGATTTATCTGTATGTTTCAAATTTTATGTTAACTTTTTTCAGTTTTATATAGTTTTTTAATCACTCAAGACTTTCTTTGATTTACAGTTTATTTAGAATTGTGTTTAGTTTCCAAGTACCTGGATATTTTCCTGTTATCTTTATGTTATTGATATCTAGCTTAATTCCATTGTGATCAGAGAACACAATTTTTAAGATTTCAATTGTTTAAAATTTGTTTTACATCCAAGAGTATGATCTATATTGGCATATTTTCCATGGGCACTTGAAAAGAATGTGTATGCTGATGTTGTTGAGTGGAGTGCTTTATAAATGCTGACTTGATCCCATTGGTTGATGGTGTTGCCTAATATTGTATATCCTAGCTAATTTTCTGTCTAGTTATTCCATCAATTCTTGATATAGGCATGTTGAAGTCTCCACCTGCTATCATAGATTTGTATATTTCTCCTTTCATTTTTATCAGTTTTTATCATTTTTATCAGTTTTAGCTTTGGATTTTTCAGCTCTGTTTGTTGCATACACATTTAGAATTGTTGTATCTTATTGCTAGAATAACCCCTTCATCATTAGATAATGCCCCTCTCTGTCTGGCAATTTTCTGCATTCTGAAGTCTACTTTTTCTAATATTAATATTGCCACTTCTGCTTTCTTTTTATTAATGTTTACATTATATATCTTCTTCCACCTTTTTACTTTCAACCTGCCTATATCACTAGATTTGAAGTGAGCTTCTTTTAGGCAATAGTTAGAACATACTTTTTAAACTACTTTTAATTTCTGCCTTTTAAATGATGTTTTTAGACTACTTACATTGTATTTATGTATTCATTTGCTAGTGCTTAAATCTACCATTTTAATTTTTGTTTTCCATTTGTACTTTTCTTCTTTATTTCTGTTTTCTTTTTTCTGCCTCTCTATGTTTTACTTAGACATTTTCTAAGAATTACATTTTGATTTAGCTGTATGTTTTTATTTTTTATGACTTTATTTTTTAATGTTATTCAGTTACAGTTGTTCCCATCCCGCCATCCCACTCTCCCATTGTTCTTTTTGTATAGCTTTTGAGTGGTTGCTTTAGATATTACATTTATGTATATATAACATGTATATAATGCTTTAACTCATCTTTAGGTCCTGTGTGGAATCTTTTATCCATTTAGCAAGCAATTAATACTTGTTAAATTTAACCAAGTTAATTGTAAAGTAATACAAGTTATTTCTAATTTTATATCAATTAAATGTTGATCATTTCACAAGAAAGAAAGTCATTCCAGAGCTAGTTATGAATGTAGAACAACAGAAGGAACTTATTTGAAAATGTTACATTCTTGGAACAAAATAAAGTATTTTTAAAGGAGAAAAAGAAGGAAAGAAACAGAGAGCAGTCAAGCTGTCCATTGCACCAGACTATTTCATTTTCAGAATTGATTATTTGATTAGTCAGAGAGTAGCTTTAGACAGGAAAGTTCTCAAACTGGTGGCCTGTAAACCTAATCAAGCAATATAGTTTCACAGTAAAATTGGTATTTTCAGGCTTATTTTGTAAAACAGAATGATCTAGAAATACTAAATCCTTATTCACAAATGTCCACATTGGCTGGAGCTGAGTACTGCTGCCATTAGATCAATAAGCATACCCTGTGCCCCAGAACCCAATGCTCCCCGCAGTCTTTCTCCACCCTCTTTGCTGAGGTTCATTTGCCACACTTACTGGCTGTTATGGATATTTAACTAGTATTTCCTGATACATAAAGCCCCAACATTTGGTTACTGTAAAAAATAAAACATGAAAATTTCAACCAAAGCCTACATTCAAGTACTTCTTGTATGCTGGGTATCAGATCCTCAGATTGGAGAAACAGAGGTAAGTCCAATGTGGAACCTCCAATTTAGAAGGAAAAACAGACAAGTGCCAAATCAATCACCATAAATATTCAAAATGATCAGGGTTGCATGAGCTGCACAAAGGAAGAATCATGCCCTCAAGGGAATGATTGGTCCTGCTGGTCATGGGGGTGTAGCCCAAACATTTTAATTTCTCTTGGTGACACATCAATGGGATACCCAGATACCTGTTTAAAACCCATTGCACTTGGTAAGGAGGTTCCCTTTCCCATACAGACATTTGTCAAAAGATACACTGAGCCTTCATCTCCCTTGTCAATTGATGGGCCTAAGAATAAGAATCACAAAGGAAAACAAAGACAGTTCCCCATATCCAGAATGTTATATGGGACTATTCCCACTTTCATTACACCCCTTTGAGTATTGTAAAACCAATTATTAAGCTACTTTATACATGAGTGATTAGGATAAAGTTATGAAATGCATTATTCTAAAACAGTCATAGAGGAACACACATATATACATACCCATATGCCTGTCTGTACACATGTGTGTGTATTTATATAGATGTACATATGTATGGATAATGAATCTTATTTCTCTATTCATCTATCTATCTACAGAAATTGACTAAGCCATATTGGTTTTTTAAAAGTAGATTAGAATACTTGGGCACATTCAGAGACACCATTAGAGAGGACTAGCACCTCACAGATAGCCAAAGATACATTGGGTGGTGTGTCTCACGGGACTGACAAAAATCATATCTTCCCTGGTGCTTTTTCCTGTTAGTTCTTGTATTTCTTTTCTGACACTGGTTCAATTAAGAAAAAAATGGTTAAACCTTCTAATCCCTCTCTATGCAGAACTGAAGGGATTTGGGTCCTCTGAACATAAGGACTGTAACCTTTTTTGGATTTATTGAACTGCATGATTACAACCAAGAAAAAAAAATGTGTGGAATACTTGGGACATGAGTAGTTTGAATAGAAAGTAATACATGAATAATTAATAGGATTAGAAGACAGGAACACCTATATTTATTTTAAGGTGCCCCAGCAGTTCACAGGGGCTTTAAAAATTCTCAAGATTTGAAGTATACACCATCTCTGTGGAAAGTAATACAAGCTTTTCATGTATTAGTTCAACTTCATAAGCCCTGAAGACATGTCTGGCAACTGACAACATGTCTGGCTTTTAGGGTGAAAAATACAAGTACTGAATCTTTGTCTGGCATTTTAGATATCACTGCTGAGGAAACATGGCAAGAAATATGTCAGAGCCACAGGACTCAGAGGAGCAGCTGCTGTAGAAGTGGTAGAGGCTGAAAAGGAATCCTGGCCTTGCTCCTAAACAACGACCATGGGCAAGTCATTGTCTCTTCGTGGTTTTCACTTTCATATGTCTATAGTAAGAAGATTGGACCAGACGAACTTCTGGTTTCTCTTAGCTCTGACCCTCCTTCTGATTCTGTTCAGCCATAGTATGGTAGACTGAAGAATGATTACCAGAGATACTCTTGTCCTAATCTAAAACCTGGGGATGTCACCTTAAATGGAAAAAATGACTTTAAAGTTATGATTAAGGATATTAAGATGGGGAGATTATCCTGTACATTTTGAGTGTTCCATAGTTGTAATCACAAGGATCTTTATAAAGAGAACACTAAGGGACATTTGACACTGAAAAAGAGAAGTCAGTGTGACTACAGAGCCAGAGATTAGAGTGATGTGGCCACAAGCCAAGGAATACCAGTAGCTGCCAGAATCTGGAGAAGGAAAAGAACAATTCCATCCCTGTGACTACCTTCCTTGCAGCCCTGAAGACTCAGTTAGACATCTGGCCTCCATGACCATAAGAGAATAAATTTCTGTTGTTTTAAGTCATTATGTTTGTGGCGATTTGTTACAGCAGCAACAGTAAAGACACAGACATTGGCCTTTCAAGGGGTTTCATGGATGTGCCCCCTTTTGCTTCCTGCATGACCTGCTTCATGCAATAATGTTACCTGCCTAATCCCTGAGGACCAGAGCCAGCAACCCTGGAATTCCTCACTCAGCAGGACTCTGATATTATACAGTCATCATTTATTTATTCACTCAGTTATTCAGCCAAGGTTCACTAAGTACCTGTGCATCAGGCACTTGGCAAGTACTGAGGATATAAGAATGGACAAAATTCATCCCTTCCTTCCTCATAGTCTCAGGCAATAGAGACAATAGCGTTGGTATAGTGGATGACGTAACACAGATGTGGAAAAGTAGAGTGGAAGGCCCTTTCAATTCTTGGTCATCAAAGGGGGCTCTTGGGACAGCAGGGGGAAACTGGGTGACAGACAGAATGGGAAGTGGAGATATGTCAGGGCATCCTCCCATATCACTGCTCATGGCCATTTTAGGACAATACATCTGACTCCAGGTCAAGAAACCTCCTCACTGACCCCAGCCTCCACCAATTCCTACCATACCTATCCAAAAACGAACTCATGTTTGTCCACTGGCCAGTGCTTCTTCTGAGTCCTGTCTCTTGGTCGTTTCAATTTGTGTTTTTCAAACTGAAGGCTATGACCCATTAGTGTGTTGTGAATCAATTTAATAGGTCACAACTAGCATTTTTAAAGCAGGAGCTGTACCTTATCAGTGGAGGTGCTGTTTTGGAAAAGCCTAGTTTCAGAGAGAAAAAAAGTATATATATATACATACAGGATCGCGATGCAAAATGTATGTTACTGTGGGTCTTGAATGAAAGAGTTTGAGAGCCACTGATTTAACTACTTCAAAATGAGATATGCTGCTTTAACTCTTTCTGGAAAAAGGTAAGCAAGAGGTGGTAAATAAATACTTAAATGAAAGAATGAGTATAAATGAACTTACATGAGCAATTGCCAACCCAATAAGCACACACTGTGCATATTATCGTGTAGACAGCACTGTTCTTGGCATCCTAAAAGCACAATGACAAACAAGGCCTGGAACACATCACTTCCAGCTCTCATACAAGATGAGATAGCACACTTACTACTGATTCTGGGCAAAATACAATTCAAGTACTGAACAAGTGCTTCAAAGCCTTGTGGGCCCAGAAATTATATTCTCATGGAGAAGATGGCACTTGAAGTGGCTCTTAAACTTGGGTCAGTGTTTAATCAAGTAAGGTGTGAAAAAGGCACTCAGGAGAAGGGTACAGCATGGGTAAAGGCATAGGGGCAGGACAGTACAGAGTCTCTCCAATAAGCAGGGAGTGATCTTTTTTAACTGAGTATGTTATGAGTTAAGATACATAGGGTTCCTGCAAAGATAGATAGGACTTCCAGCAGGCCACTGACCCTCTTTGACCCAGTGAAGTTAATAGTACCTACTTTACTCACCTCTCTGGTGGCAGAGAATATAAAGAGAGAAGATTAGGATGAAGCATTGAAGAATATTGCCCAATTCACCCATTCCTTCTTGCTGGGTGACCAGGATTGGTCTGGCATATGTTGGTGAATGAGCAGTGCCCAGCCCTGTGATGCATGCAGTAACTCAGAGAACAGATTATGCCTTCTGCCTAAGAAAGTCAGAAGGTGTCACCAAGGGTAGAATACTTGGGATGAGTGTGGAGGGATGAGTTGGAATTTTGAAAGAGGGAGACAGGAATCCCAGAAGGAAGGAACAGAAAATGTCAAGGTTATAGAGTTGCAAAAGGGGATAGTATGTCCAAGAGGGTCCATAGGCTGTGACTCAGAAGGTGTAGACAAGACTCCCTAGCTCTGATATGCCCTGCTGAAGGCACCAAGGAAATAGAAATTCAGTCATTTGCCTTGGTTTTTCCAGTTTGCACAGAGGCACCATCTGCTGACCACACTTTTTACCTACTGGGGCATGTCACCCCAGATAAAATATCTTATATAATTTGCACCAAGGCTCTATAATGTTTGCAAAAGGGAAGACTTGTAGGAAAGGTAGATGAGATCCTGGAATAGGGGATGGGGGAGTCAGGACAAAATAAATTCACTTGGACAGCAAAGTGAATGTAAGTGGGTTCATCACCAGTTCTCAGCATGGACTTCTCTGCATCCCAAAACTTGGTTTTTCCTACTGAGACTGTCAACTCTAACTCCAGTACTTAATATTCTCCCTTCTTAGACCACTTGACCATTCTCTTCCTCCAGCTATTGTCTGCCTCTCTACCACCTCTTCCAGTCAGTCTTCCCAGATGCCTCTGCCAGGTCCAATCACTGCCTTTCATTCAATCCTCCTCCTGCTCCCCACAGGTCTGTATTTATGCACATCTCCTGTGTGTAAGTGACATGTGCATCCTTGTTTCAATCATGTGTGTCTCGTATCTGCTCAGCCCATCAATCTCACGGACACACCTTCAGCTCACAGGCCCCATCTCACATACCTCATCTCAGAAACATCCACAGGGAAAAAGCCTTCTGGGCCCTAATCAGAGAGCAGACTGAGAAAGTGGAATCTCATGGCTTATAGTTGCATTAAGGGTAAAGAACTGATAGTGTCTTCTTTGTCAAGAGAGGTTTAGATACAGGGCAGGGAACATGAAGACATGAAGTACCCAAGAGGAAAAAAGGGTACCATTGACAGGGAAAGGAGTTTTCAAAAAAGAGCATAGAGTCATAGAGTCTATGTGCACTATATAGGAGGTAGAATTGGAATGGCAGCCACTGTCCCTCCAGCATGGAGTTCCATGATCCTCTTCTTCCAGATACCAGCTACTCCTGCCAGTTAACTGTCTGCACTATGCACAGGCAACTTCAGACACTGGCTGGGGGAGAAAGAAGTTCTAGGAGAACATGAAATGGGAACTAGCTGGGTCCAGGGTTGAGAAAGGAGCCCAGAGCAGAGGCCCATGTGACAGGGGTCAACGTGCTAGGCAAGGAGCAGAGGTGGAGTGCCATAGAAAGAACAACGTCTTGCAGGGCAGTTGCCATGGACTGTATGTGTATGTCTCCCAACAAGTCATAGGTTGAAGTTCTCCTCTCCAGTGTGATAGTATTTGGAGGTGAGGCCTTTGGGGGTGATTAGATGATGAGAGTAGAGCCTTCTAGGATAGGATTAATGCCCTTATAAGAACAGTCACACCAGAGATCATCTCTTCATCATGTGAGGATGCAGCAAGAAGGTAGCCATCTGCAACAGAGCTCTCACCAGGAACCCATTGTCTGACACCTTGGTCTTGGACTTCCAGCCTCCAGTACTATGAGAAATACATTTTTGTTGTTTAAGTCACCCACACTATGGTAATTTGTTATAGCTAAGATAGCTATATCTTACAACACAAGCTAAGATAGCAGACAGAGCTGGAATCTCTCTACCATGTGTTGCTGTCCCTCCTGAGAGAATGTCTGCATAGAAATACATGTTCACATGCATGCACACACACACCAGCATGGAGCACTGGTCGGCACCACACAAAATCTGAGGAAGCCTGGCACAGTTGTAGACACAGGGGCTACAAAAATGAATGCAAATAGATCTGTATTTGAGAACAGATTAAATAATCTTGCCTTAAATATTTCGCCTGGGAGGTTGTTAGCATTCACAACCAACCACGGTGCAAAGCAGATTATAAATTATATAATAAAGCTATTAATTGTGTAATGTGGGAAGGTAGAAAAGAGCTGGATTAATATGTGCCAGATTATATAGAAGCTTGAATGACATGACAAGGCCTGCAGTATGAGCAGGGACATAATGAAATCAATCTGTATTAACTGATCTACCATTTTAGCTACATTGGAGGGCAGGGACTAGAGCTAGAGGACCAGTTAGAAAGAAATTACAATGAAAAATAATAGCTCCTAACCCTAAGCATTCCCTTTATGCCAACCTTATTCTAAGTGTTTTATGTATATAACACATTTGAACATGCAACTGTGTGTGTCCAGTGTCATGGGTTGAACTGTGTTCCTCATAAAGTCATATGCTGAAGTCCTAACTTCCAGAATGCCAAATGTAATCTTACTTGGACATAAGGTCTCTGCAGGTAAATTACTTAAGTTAAAGTCATACTGAAGTAAATGGAGCCTTTAATTCAATGTGACTGACATCTTTATAAAAAGGGGAAATTTGACACAGACAGCCATGTGAAGATGAAGGCAGAGATAGAAGTGATGCATGTACAAGCCAGACAGACACCAAAGATCACCAGCAAGCCACCAGCAAGATCACTGGTAAGCTACCAGAAGCTAGGGGAAGGAGGAGAGGGAAGGAAGAGATAAGAAGAGCCGTTAGAAACCCAGGTTAGAGGGGACTCCGCTGATTGTGGCAGAGGTTGAATTTCATCCCTGACCAAACTCAAACCCAAGGCTCCTTTTTTCCACTGGTTCATTTAACCTCACAGTAGTCACCCTCAGGCACTAGTGAGCATCTCGTGTGCTGTACTATTTTATGAAGATGCACTACTGTGAAAGAGCACTAGCTTGGAGCTGAAGGCTGGGCTCCTGTCCCAGCACAACTATTCACCTGCAGAGTGACCTTGAGCCTCCACCTCTTGCCTGCTCTCCAGGGGCACAATGAAGACCTTGGGCCAAAGGCTGCTGTTATCCTCTCCTCAAATCTGTAGGATTCCACTGTGATTGTCCTCCTTCTAGTATGACTGTCACAGGTGGGCACAGGTAACCAGGTTCTTATGATCAGGACAAAGAATTGAACAGAACACCCAGAGTTTATAGAAGAGAACATGGGAGCAGGCCAACTCCAAGCAGAGATTGACCTCATGGGCTGGAGGGACTCTATTCT